CCATCGGGACCAGGTCTGTGCCAGCCGCCAGCACCCAGGCATCTCCCCCTCATCCCCCCAGCTTCCCAGTGACCCGCTCAGGGCCCCACGTTCGGGCTCGGAAGTGCTTCTTCTCATCTGACTGAACCCTTCCAAGCTGTGATCCAAGTCCGCGTCCTCGAATCCCCCCTGGGCGGCACAGTCCTTTGCTCCCAGAGGGGCCTGGTCACCCAGCGTCCGTGCCAACTGTGTCCCTCCGTCTGTGTCTATACCCCCTGCCCTGCTCTGCTCCTTTTGAGCCATCTGAATGCCCCCCCCTCGGTCTGGCCCACCTTCCCCTGGTTTGTCGGCAATGGCTGTTTGGCTCTCCCCGTCCTCGGGCTTGGTCACCACCATGGAGGTCAGCGGCGTCACAAAATTGTACTTGAGGGACAGTCCCAGGGCCTTGGCCGTGAGGTTCTCCTTCTCCTCGCCTTGGGCCTTCTTGCTGTGAGGGGCACTCGGGAGGGTCAGCCTGCCAGACCCAGGCTTGGCTTCCCCAGCAGGGAGCAGCCCATCCCGTGTGGGGCCCCCAGGCAGAGCCCAGAGGACTCGGGGGAAGCTGCTTCACCAGCTCACAGGGGCATGCGGCCATGACTTGTTCCCGCTCTGGGCCTCAGTTTCCCCACTGATTGAACACGGGACGCTTAGGGGCCTCTAACAACAATGCCCACCATGGCGTCCCTGTGTGAGGGGCCCCAGGCTTATCCACCTGTACTGACGACGCCCCCCTCTGGGGTGGGCCCACGCACTGCAGCCTGTGATTCTGCTCCATCTGCCCTCACTGAGGCTGGGAGTGGACCGCCGAGGCCCGGCCCTGTCCTCCCTGCCCTGCCCCGCCCGCCCTCTTTTCTTCTTTGATGCAAGACTTGATTTTACCGCCAGCGGGCAGAGGGTGGGCAGACGGGTATGGCTGGGGGTGGGGGTGGGGTGCTGTGGTCACCGTTGGTCCAGCAGCTGCTCGATCGTGAGATAGGCCCAGAGCCGCTCAATGTAGTTTCCAAAAATGTAGCTCTGCTCCTCGAAGGCCTTCTCCAGCTCCTTCACGTCCACCTCCTCCGTGAAGGTGAGGTCGTTGACGGCCTGGGGCGGGGCAGCGGGAGGGGAGGCCATGGGCTTGGGGCTAGAGGGCTGTCAGGCACCCACGGGCAGGGGCCTGGACATACAGACCCCCCCATCCCAGCACGGTGCCCAGCGGGCCCCACTCACACCGTGGCCCTTCACGTCCGCCTTAAAGCTGTTCAAGTCCTGGTCCAGCAGGCGCCCGGCTACCACAATCTCGGAGCCGTCGTAGAAGTTCTTATAGTTGTTCTGAGTGAGGTCCTGGATGGCGTTCTCGGGGTACTCCATCTCCACGCCCATCAGCAGCGGGTTGGCCACCTCCTCGTAAAAGCCCTGAAGAGTCAAAGGGAAAAGCCCATGGGAATCTTCAAGCGATTTGTGGGACAGAGAGAAAGGAGGCGTTTTGAGAAGGAGACCTGGTGCTGCAGGACGGGGGGCCCCAGCCCAGTGGGGGTGCAGGTGTGCAAGGGGAGGTGGACCCACTCGGGTGGGGAGGGACAAGGCGGCCTGGTTGAGCCAATCAAGTCTAGGCCGCATGGTTGCACTTGAATTTCAGGCGCACTGGGAACCTTTTAGCGCAATCACAGAAAAACACAACAACGATGAGTCACTGTGGCGTTACCCTGACTCGATGGTGACCCCGAGCGTATCGGAGCAGACCTGTGCCCCACGGGCTTTCCCGTGAGGCTGTGGAGTGGTGGCAGACCTTCCTTCTGAAGTAGTGCTTGACCTCCAGCCTCTCGCTGGCTGCACAGCATGTTAACTGCCGGTTGGTCACCCAAGGACTCAAGCACAAGCATGGCCTAGGCCCTATTCGGGCCCTGCTGTCACTGGAAATCATTGCGTGCGCATCGGCGAGGCAATGTATAACGGACTCCTCTGAACCTGGCTCAGCTTCTACAGAGGAGGCGCGTCTGTTCTGTGTAGTCTGAGCACCAACTCGGATCGTCGCTAGCTCACAGAGAGCAAGCGTCACCTCTCATGCAAATCCTGGAGGGTCAACTCAGCCGGAGTGTGCGGCGCCCTTCTGGAAGTGACAGCACCCGTAAAAAGAGGAGACGGGGACCACACCAACAGGGACGGGCCGACAGAAGGGGTGGCAAGCGTCCTGGCACACAGTGAAAAATGTCACTCGTGGCACGAAGCCGTCTGAGGAAGACTCGCTAAAGAGGAACCTCGTTTGTTGTGTAAATGGTCACAGGAAACACAACAAAACACACGTTTGTTTTTTAAGGAGTTGAAGGTTTCTTTTCTTCCCCTCAAAAAAAAAAAGAGGTGAATTTTCACCCAAGAGGAGACTCTTTCTGATGACTGCACTTATTAGAACAACTTAGTGGAATCGCTCCGGGATCGGGTAGAGAGCTCGATGCTCTGGAGGTGTGCAAGACAAGGCGCACCTGCAACTGCAAGTGGGCATCGGAATCCTCGTAAATGCGCCGGGCGAGACCGTGGTTCTCCAGGGCCAAACGCTCCAGGAAGTTGTAGTTCAGGTTATTGCCAAAGCCCAGGTTGTACAAGGGGAACTTGCCCCCAATGGCGTTCCGCACGTTCTCTTGGATCTTGTCCGTCCGGCTTTCGCCTGTGGGAGAAGACAGTGTTCCACGCAGCAGAGGCCAGGGCTCCAGGGCATGTCGGACTCCCGCGCTCCCAGGCCCTGTCAGTAGGGCCCAGAGCCCCGGCAGGGAAAGCAGGGTCTTGAGGCATTGGGGGCCTAGAGGCCTGGGAGGGCTGTCTCAGGTGTCCTAGTGGGCAGGCTGTAGGCAGACTGCGCTCTGGGCGGGAGCCAGCCCTCCCCACCCCTGCCTCACCATAGTTGGCGTCCCCGTCGGTGAGCAGGATGATGATGGAGCTCCTCCTCGCTGCGCCCTGCCCGTCCCAGGCCTCATTCAGCATGCCGATGCCCCGCATCAGCCCGCCGTTCATGTTGGTCACTAGCACACAGACAGGACCGTGAGGGGCCAGAGGATGCCATTGGGACGGGGCCTGCTCACATGCCCAAGGGCCTCAAGTCTCTGGTGGTTGAGATAGTTAAGGTTTATTGTGCCAACCTGGCCGATAAACACATGTGGGATTACTTGAAGGGCAGAGAAATAAATGGCTCAGTGAGCCTCTCCTTTCTAGTTCTTGGGTCTCTTGCTTTCTGATGGTCGCATCAGTGTGCAGCTGCCTGAGCCAGTTCCCTGCTTCAGCAGGCAAGGCTCACTTCCTGCAAGACATCCCTGAGGAGAAACCGCATGGACCTACCCCGATGCAGCCCTGAGTGCAGGAGCAGCCGTGTGGAGACCCCTGCCAGCGCTGAGATGCTTACACATTCACTGATTTGGCTTTCCTCCTGCAGTCAGTGTCATTGTGTGTGTTTTGTGAAATTGAGGAGGGCTTTGTAGATTGGTGTCGGACATAAGGGCTAATGTCGGACTTACAAGTTTGGACAGCACTGGGTTGGGATGCTTTCTGAATGTACACTTACCCTTTATATAAAACTCTCATAGTTTCTGTGGGTTTGTTTCCCTAGTTTACCCAGACTAACACAGTGGTGCTCAGTCAAAATTGGCGGAGGGAGACGGAGGGATACTCTCTCCAATAAAGGTCAAAGGGCCAGCCTTTCCCGGCTGCCATCAGCTAGAAGCATCTCAACTCACTGCCAATGAGTTGATTCTGATCCCCAGCGATCCCCTGGGGCTAGTGGGAGCCGCCCCTGTGGGTTTCTGAGACTGTAACTACATGAGAGCGGGAAACCTCACTTTCCCCCCATGAGCAGTGGGCAGTGTTGAACAGTTGACCTTGCAGCTCGTGGCCGCAAGTGGCCTCGGGGGCTGCGAGCCTTACAAGCAGGCAGATGAAGTCTGGGCTGAGAGGAGGAGAGCAGAGGTCTCTGGTTTACCCAGAAAGAGGCAGCAAAGGACACGGGGCTTGGGGTGTGACAGCTTTGGAACAAGTCGGGCACCAGGATCCCGGGTTAGAAACAAAGAATCTTTCTCTAGACCCAGAGAGTTCCAGACGGAGCACCCTGGTGTGCTGCCCACAGCCAGGGTCTCTGGTCCCAAGGAGGGGAGCGGCCGCTCGGCTGGGCTCAGAGCAGCGAGGAGACCACTGGCCACCTGCGGCCTTTCTAGTAGCTCTTACTTCCTTCGTCGTTGATGTTCTTCACGAACTCCCGGGCCTGCTGCAGGTTCTCGGGAGTGGCTTGCACCAGGGTGTCCTTCCAGGTGGTCACGCCGGTGCTGAACAGGATGAAGTTCAGGTAGTCCTCTTCCTTGATGTCATCCAGGATTTTCAGGAGGGCGTCCCTGGTCTGGGGAGAGGACAGTTCCCTGACCACTCAGGGCCTCAGGGCCGGAGGGGGAAAGGGTCATCCAGTGGTGCCCCACGCCTGAGGCACCCCACGAAGGCCAGGGAGACGGTTTGTGAGTCAAACATCTTGTCTGGAGCAGCTTTTCCTTTCGGCTTCAAAAGCAGACCTCTCTCACCTGCTCTATTTTCCGGCCGGCCATGGAACCACTGATGTCGATCACAAAGACCACATTCTTGGGCACCACGGGAAGGCCGTGAGGTGCGAAGAAGTGCACAAAATAGCCGTTGACCACCTGGGAAGAGAAGGGGACAGAGAGATGCCAGGCTGTGGGCCACATCACCGTGGCTACCTCTGGACACAAAACCCAAACCGCCTCACTGCCATCGAGCCAGTTCAGGCTCACAGCGACCCTGCCTGACAGGGTGGAACCGCCCCGTGGGCTTCCAAGACTGAATCTTTACTGGGGTAGACAGCCTCATCTTTTCCCCAGCGGCTGGTGGTTTCAAACTGCTGACCTTGTGGTTAACAGCCCAGAGCGTCTATAACCCACTCTGCTGGCAGGGCTCACCAGACCCTGCAATTAGAAGCTGGATATCTCCCAGCCCAAGAAAAAGACGTTCCTTTGGCTCCATGCACCAGGGGGTGTCCCACAGAGGCACACAGGGACTGTGCGGTCCCGGGTCTGGTAGGGAGCTGGGTGAGGCTGCTCCCCTCCCCCGGCCCTGCGGGCAGGTCTACTTTCCGGCGCCCAGGTACCTGCACGTTGGCTGGAGACTCTCGGTTCACGTCATAGGTGATGATGAAATCCCCGTTGAGCAGTGTGTCTGCACAGGTGGGGCAGGAGCGCTGATGCTCTAAGCTGGGCTTGAAGGACACGTGGCCCTGGGGGCGGGGGGGCACATGGACTTGCTCAGCCTCCTGTGCAGACCTCACCGGCCTGGATGAGGCTCAGGGTGAGCAGCTCTGGGTAACCCCCTGCTCTGGCTTCTCTGAGCGCCTCGCTCCTTTCCCCTGGCTTCTTCCCCGAGTCCCTCACCCACCTGACCTCCAGGGCCTCCCCCACCCCTGGGGAACGACCTTTGCAGCGTAAGAACAGGAACTTCCTGTTGGGTGGGGCCCAGAGGCGGGGAGGGCTAGGGAGGACCCAGAAACCCTCTCAGCGGTGCCCTGGGCGCTCAGTGATCAATCTGTGATTTAACATGTGTGTGGACTTCCAGTCATCTGCTGCCGGCCCAGCGAAGGTCCGGGGTCGGCTGGGGGCCTTAGGGGTTGACCTAGAGAACAGTGCTTCCCATGTGGGCAGGACCACCCTAGGGTGGGGGTGGGGGCGCTAGAGCCCTCCAGAAGCTGCAAAGCCGATGCCTGTGCTGTACCCCGGATTACGGGCTACAGCACAAACATTCTCAATGCCAGGGCAGGTGCTGGGTCAGTCTTCCCC